CCAAACAGGCAAACCGCCTGAGACATCCCCACAATCTGGGCGTGAACGGGCGAGTGTCATGCCTCCTGGCAGTTCCCCTATTGAACACAATGCTGCCCGAGACATCCTCACAATCTGCTCTGAAAGCAGATCAGGCTGGGCACACAAGCAGGCAAACCGCCTGAGACATCCCCAGAATCTGAGTACGAATGGGCGAGTGTCCGACCCCCTGGCGGCTCCCCCTTGAAAATGCTGAAACCAGCGCCTCGCCTGAGACATCCTCACAATATGTTTTGACAGCAAGACATGCTGGGTACCCAAACAGGCAAACCGCCTGAGACATTCCACGGGCGAGTGTCCTGACCCCTGGCGGATCCACCTGGGGAGTGCAGCAACCAGCGCCTCGCTTGAGACGCCCTCACAATCTGCCCGCCAGTGAGTCTGATCATGAGTGAATCTGAGTAAGAGTGAGTCTGAGTACGAGTTAGTCTGAGTGGGTCTGAGTGTGAATGTGTTGGAGTGTGGGTGAGCCTGAGCTTGACGAATGAGTCTGAGTGTGAAGTCTGAGTGTGATTGGGACTGAGTGAGGAGGAGGAGAAGGAGGAGGAGGAAGAGCGGAGGAGGAGGAGGAGGAGGAGGGTGTAAGGTGTGAGGGGGAGTAGGTCCAGAGACGCCGCAGAAATAACAAGACCCGAATCTTAGAATATGGGGAGCAACCAGAACCCCAGCTACTGTGGAAAATAAGAAGAAACCTACCTCAGAATATGGGGAACTAAAGTGCGGGTAGCCAGGTCCCATGGCATGCCCCCCACCCCCCCCACCCCCTCCCACCCCGACCCCCAGCCCCCCCCCCTGGCGCCCACCCGAGCGCGGTGGCTGAATCGCGCGGCAGCGCAACTGGATACTCGAGAGTGTCCGCGCGGATGGGTGCCGCACCGGTGATGGCGACCTTGCACTTCTCGAGGCCGAGGTTCTCCTTGATCTTGGTGAGGATGACCTTGTCTGCGATGCAGAAGCCAAACGGGGCCTCAAAGGATCCGTTCAACTGGCTGTTTTTTGCCTTCGTAAGGGCCAGGTCCTTCGCCCAGGTGGCAAGGGACTTCTTTACGCCAGTGGTCGAGGCACCAATGGCACGAATCCTGTCGGCGATCTTCTCCCAGACCAGGGGCACTCCCAAGAAATAAGTCGGCTTAGCCACCTGCAGGCGGTCCTTGACAGATCCGGCCTTCAGGTCATAAGGCCGGGCAAAGAACATCGTCGAGTGAGACTTGCCGCTGCTGTTTGCCATGGGCGAGACAATATCGAGCATCAGGCCCGCAACGTGAGACAATGGCAGGTAGGAGAGGCCACGCTCCTGCTCACCAGTCATCGTGAAGCCACAAGAATCCCCAAGCACTTTGGTCACCGCTTTTGCCTCATAGGTGATGTTGTCGTGGCTGATCATCACGGCCTTGGGGTCGCCAGTAGTGCCAGATGTGTAGATCAGGGCCGCACAGTTGCCAGGCTTGATGGCGTCCTGGCGCTTCTTTAGCTCCCCCGCGTCGTTAAAGGCCTTGCCCTTCTCGAGAAGGGCCGCCCAGCTCAACACCGAGACAGAGCCTACCCCCGTGATCGACACCTTCTCATCGGAGGCGGGCTCGTAGCCCCAAGTGACGATCGCCTTCAGGCGCTTGCAATCACCGCGGTCGTTCAAGCCCTGCACGATCTTCGCCAGCTTGCCTTTGTCCTCAAGCACGAGCACAGATGCGCCAGAATGCACGACCTTGTAAGCGGCGGTCTCTGGAGAATCCGTGGGGTACAATCCCGCCATCTTGCCGCCTGCGAAGGTGCTGGCAACCGCGGATATGATCCACTCTGGACTGTTGAAGCCCCAAACACTTACCGAGTCGAAGGGGGCGAAGCCGAGGGAAACATAGGCTTTGGCCACGGTCTGCACATCGCTCAAATAATCTGCATATGACCACTTCGTCCACTCTTCAATGGGAAGGGCGGGTGGAGGCTTGCCGTCAACGAGTTCAGGACAAGGCCGCTCTACCATAAATGCGGGCAATGTTGCATTCTTAGATGCTGTTGCTGTGAACATGTCAATGAGAGTAGTTGGTTTCCAGCTCCCACAACCCTCTTGAGCAAACCTGATCGTGCTCTCTGCTTTGCAGTCATGCGTCCAAAATGGGCCCTCAATGGCCTTGTAGTCGCAATAGGTCGCTGCCGTATTTCGCGGCACACCCATTTCATATTCGGATTCGGTCGTGCTTGAGCCATCTCCACAACAACTCTGGTTGTTACCCATGATCGCTGACTTTCTGCCTGTTGTGAATTTGGAGCTGGCAACTATACACGAGCCAAAATGAATCTACGCGAACCTTTCAAAACTCGTTTGGGACGCAATGGCTGCGGTGTTGTCTAGCAAAGCATCATGCTGTCATCTCGTCCCCATCTCATCCTCGACCCCCAGAGCTATCCAGTCCCCAGAAGCCTTCGGGAACCGTCGAGACCTCGCAAGGCCTCCAGAGTATCAAACATACCGGAGAAAAAAAAAGCCAACCACGAACACCTTGATCATCGGTTCTCCTCTGCCTTCACCCTCCTCCTCTCTCATTCCTCCTCCTCCTCCTCCTCCTCCTCCTCCTCCTCCTCCTCCTCCTCCTCCTCCTCCTCCTCCTCTTCCTTTTCCTCCTCCCTCTTCCTCCTCCTCCCTCGCCGCGACCTCGGAGCTCGAGGTCACCAGCCCAGGCGCGTCCCCCCCTGGTTGGGGGGAGGGCGGAGGGGGGGCGTTGTAGGTGGCAGGGGGGGATAACGCGCGTCGTGTTTTGTTGCATCTTCAACGGAGCTCATCTGCCCTACCGCGCCCGCATCCACGCCGAATCTGCGCCGACCAGGTGTCGGAGATCGGAGATGCCGCAGTTTACAAGACAGACAAGGTCCCACCACGAGGACCCCCATGGAAGGGGTCGGCGAGACAAAAAGGTACCTCTACCGCCACTCCCAGGACCTCTCCTGGGCTGCGTTCAAACTACAACCCTCGACAAACTTAAACTCAAAAATGCGTCACGTATACTACGGGAGGTTCGCGTCGAGTCGACGCGGCAGCGACCCAAGCGCGGGCGTTCAAGGTTGGACGACGCCAGTGGTCCGGCGGAATCGGACGTGCACGATCTGGATTTTCGAAAAGCTGTTACCGTCCAAACTTGAGCGATCCACGCGGTGCCATAGGCCAGCGCGCAAGTCGTCAGACAAAGAACGTACGGTATTTGCGCATGTGATTGCCTGGGATTGGATGTCAATGAGTGTGAAGTATTTGTTAGCGCCCCCCCTCCAATGTCGGTCAGAACTGGCGAGACGCACCCCCCAGGAGCATGCGTCGGCTTCTTTCGACATTGGAGGGGGGCGACATTGAAGGGGTGCTCAGGACGTTTTTGAATGTAATTGTGTAGAGGGTTGTAGGATTCCGAGGCGCGAGGCGAATCCGGCCGTGGCGGCGAAGGCCTCCCAGGAGGCCCCCAAAGGCGAAAACGAGGCGAGGGTGTCGGGTGGTATCGGTACCTCCTCCTTCTCGGACGTTCGGGAGAGGAAGAGTGGAAAGATGACGTGCGCCGTCTCCCCCAAGTACACAAAACATCGTCGAACTAAAACATACCTCTAAACAACATGAAAGACGAGCCCCCTACAGTAAAACACAACTCCTGTGGCGAGAAGGAAAGTAAAACAAAACTCCTGTGGCGAGAAGGGCGCGGCGCTTTGGGGTGTAGGGGGAGGGGGTGGATAACGCGCGTCCCTTCTAAAGGCTCCCTGAGATCCGACGTTGCAGAAAATACAGCATCGTAAAAGATCACGACCAGAGCCCCTCATGTCTCGAATCGGATCGGCATGTGAGGATCCCAGGGCCCGAAACTAGGCGAAATCGCCCGGACTCGAAAGAAAATGAGACACCGGTAGGGATAACGCGCTTGATGCCCCTCCCTAATTTTTCGCGCGTCTTGTTTAGATTATGGCAAACTTCCTTGCAATGCATTCCCCCCTCCGCCACCATTCCAAACAGCGCCCGGCCGAATGGGCGTGCAAGTGCGTCCCGACCTGCGTGAAGTCCAGATTCTTTCGGGCCTCGCTCGCCGCGCCCCCCGCTCCATGCACAAGTGGACCTGCCATACTCTGATGAAAACTGCCACTGTCTACCAGCCTGGAACATATCCTTATCCCTATGCTGGGCACCTCCTCATCACGATGCCAATCTTAGGGATTCCCTTATTTTTTGAGGGCGGATCCCTAAGATTGTCATCGCCTTTTGGCGTGTCAATCTTAGGGATAGGGATACGTTCGAGGCTGGTAATCTGCCGTGCAAACCCAAAGTCATGACCCCATCGTTCGAGAGGCGCGCGGGACTCGGCTCCACAACAGATCCACTGCGCCGCATGCCACCTTGCGCCAGCGCGTGGGCAAAGGGGCCAAAAGCGGGTGGTTAGGGAGCCCACAAAAGGATGTACATGAACACGGCCCCTCGATCTGCGAGACCGGCCGCGTGAGACGATCTTTCGGGCAATGCGTACTCTCGAAACCAGCGTGGATTCATGGACGTGTACGTCCTTCTGTCGCTCCACCAGTGGTACCACCCGTGGCTACCTACCAGACCACCCCAACCCAACCCGACGTCCCAACTTCCAGGATGGGAAGTGGACGGTTACCGCCTGCGGTCTAACAGACTGCTCTGGGTCGCCCCCTCCCTGGGGATGGAGGACAGCTTGGGGCCCGTGGGTCGGGTTGGGGTGGTTTGGTGGGTAGTGTCCCAGGGTGCACGGCAACCCTAAGATCCGAAGTCTCGAAAAGATTGAGACGTCGCGGAAAATCACAACTGGAGCCCCGAACACCATTTTGCTGCGCCATGCTTCGAGCCGCATCGATATCCGTGAGCGCCCCGGGGCCCGAAACTGGGCCGAAACCGAGCAGCTCGAAGACATCTGGCATCGCCAAGCTCTCAGGGAGCGCCTCGGCCTCCAGGCGACCGGCCAGCCGGGACCCGCTGGGGCGCGCGGGGCCCGCCTCTCCAGCTCCGACAACTCCGGGTCGCCCGCCCCGTCGGCGCCGCCGCCCGGTGCGCCCGCGCCGCTCAGCTGGCACTCGCTCTCCACCTCGCGGCCGCCGGCTGCGCCGCGCGGCCGCGCCGAGAGCGGTGCGCCGTCGTCCGTCGTCCGTCGTGCGTCCTCGCGGTCGCCATCACCGTCGCCGTCGCCGACGAAGTCATGGTCGTCGTCGTCGTCGTCATCGCCGCTACCCTCGTCAACATCGTCGTCGTCGTCGTCGTCGTCGTCGTCGTCGTCGTCGTCGTCGCGGTCGCCGTCGTCGTCGTCGTCCTCCTCCTCCTCCTCCTGCTCCTCCTCCTCCTGCTGCTGCTCCTCCTCCTCCTCGTCCTCCTCGTCCTCTTACTGCGCGGTGGAGCACGGCAAAATCGGCAGCGTCGGAGCGGAACGGAAGAGGAGGAGGAGGAGAAGCAGGGGGGAGGAAGAGAGGGGGGAGGAAGGGGGGAAGTAGGAGAGAGGAGGGAGGAGAAGGGAGGAGAGATAAGAAATATTTAGTTAGGCCTCCGGGAACCTGTTAATCGCCACGGCTGGAGATTCTCCCGAAGGCCTTGTCGCTCATCTTTCCAGAGGGCGCTCCTCCGCAGGATAAATAAAGGATTGACGAATCTGTCATTTGGGGCAGGCGGGCATATGGCAACATGGACTTAATCTGACCTTCCTCCTTCCTCCTTAAGCCGAAGCCAGGACGAGAATAACATCGGGTGAGGATACATTAAGAATCTCTGGCTCTGGAAGATGTCTCGGGCGCCGCGGCCTTCTCGGAGCGGTCCAGAACGCTCTGATAGAGTTCTGGAGCGCTCTGGAACGGATTTATCGCCGTCCTAGCCCCGTCCGATCCTCCGCCTCATCATCCTCCTCCTCCTCCTCCTCCTCCTCCTCCTCCTCCTCCTCATCATCATCATCATCATCATCATCATCATCATCACCATCATCATCATCATCATCATCATCATCATCATCATCATCATCATCACCATCACCATCACCATCACCCACCATCAACACCATCACCATCAACCCATCACCTCACCCCTCACCATCACCATCAACCATCATCATCATCATCATCATCATCATCATCATCATCATCTCACCTCACCACCATCATCACCATCCCATCCCATCACCATCACAATCATCATCATCATCATCATCATCATCATCAGCATCAGCATCAGCATCAGGCATCATCATCAGCTCAAGCATCAGCATCAGCATCAGCAATCAGCATCATCATCAGAAATCAGCATCAGCACAGCAGCCGCATCAGCATCAGCTCAGCATCAGCAATCATCATCAGCATCAGCATCATCATCATCATCATCACAATCTCATCATCATCAGCATCGCATCACATCAGCATCAGCATCGCATCACATCAGCATCAGCATCAGGCATCAGCATCAGCATCATCATACAGCATCAGCATCAGCATCAGCATCAGCATCAGCATCAGCATCAGCATCAGCATCAGCATCGCATCCATGCATCAGCATCAGCATCAGCATCAGCATCAGCATCAGCACAGCTCAGCATCACATCAGCATCAGCGATCAGCATCATCATCAGCATCAGCATCAGCATCACATCAGCATCAGCATCACATCAGCATCAGCATCAGCATCAGCATCACATCAGCATCAGCATCCACATCGCATCATCATCAGCATCAGCATCAGCACAGCATCAGCATCAGCATCAGCATCAGCATCAGCATCAGCATCAGCATCAGCATCACATCAGCATCAGCATCAACATCATCATCATCATCATCCTCAATCATCATCACAACAGCATCATCATCATCATCACCATCACCATCACCATCACCATCACCATCACCATCACCATCACCATCACCATCACCATCACCATCATCATCACCATCACATCACCATCACCATCACCATCACCATCACCATCACCATCACCATCACCATCACCATCACCATCACCATCACCATCATCATCATCATCATCATCATCATCATCATCATCATAATCATCATCATCATCACCATCATCATCATCATCATCATCATCATCATCACCACCACCACCACCACCACCACCACCATCATCATCATCATCATCATCATCATCATCATCGTCATCATCATCATCGTCACCATCGTCATCATCATCAGCAGCAGCATCAGCATCGTCATTATAAGCATCAGCATCAGCATCATCATCCTCATCCTCATCCTCATCCTCATCCTCATCATCCTCATCCTCCTCCTCGTCCTCCTCCTCCTCCTCATCATCATCATCGGCTTGCTGGGCGGTGACGAACATGATTTGTTACTGGTCCCAGCGGGCGGGCGTGCTGACCACGACTTCGAGACGAATCCGGCGGTGTGGAGACAAGAGGCGGGCAGCGGTGCAGGGCCAGACGTGCGGTGTCTTGAGTTGTGCGTGCGCGGTCCCTGGAACACCCAACCCTGTCCCAGGGGCCGGCTGTCCCCGTGCCAGGGCACCTGGAGGCCGACGTTTGCCAAGAGCACCCCGCCGTGATTCTTGCTACGACGCGAGCGTGTCTGACGGGGTACTTCTCTTCCTCCTCTGGGTCGGGCATGTCCTCCTACAGGCGGAATTCGGATGACAAATGAAAGATAGCCCGAACATTCAAAGATTCAAAGATGAGACAAAAAGTCCTCCCCGGGCAATTTTTTGACCATTTTTGAACACTCCTCCCGTAGAGGGCCATGCCCGATCTCTAACCCGACGCATCGCCTTCTTGACCTCCGCCTGCGTGGACTGCAGCTCCCGCTCCGCGCCGGCGAGCGCGTCCTCCTGCCGCCGCCGCTCCGAGGTGGCCTCCTGGGCGGACACGGGGGGGGCGGGGCAGGAGAGCCCAGGATCGGATCGACGAGTCGGATCGGCGATCGAGATGACTCGGATCGGCGGGAATCGGCAGCCGAGTCGGGAGAAGTCGAATCGGCGGAGATCGGCAAGCTAGTAGGCCTCCATTGAGAGGCCGGGGCCCAGAATCGGAATCCGAAGTCGGCTCGAAGCGGAATCGGAGGCCATCGGACTCGGATCGGATCGGATCGGAGGAATCGAAACTAACCCTGGCGGGGGGAGAGAGGCGCCCGCGGGGCTGTGCGGCTCCGCGCGCAGGCGGGGCGGTCAGCACACCGTACAGTCGGGCCTCGGACAGAAGAGCACGCAGCAAGAGCACGAGACCCTCCGCCAGCCAAAACACCCCAAAACCCTTCAGGTCATTCGAGGGTGCCTTCGCCCAGGGTGCACAAGAGCATCCAGCAAACACGAAGAACAATAGGGTGCCCTCCCAGAACCGACCTCGATCTGGAACCTCGGACCTACTGCATCCATTCACGAGCGTATCGCAGGTTCGTGTCGTGTCGACACTGGCGTTGGTTCCTGACACCGCGGGGTCGTTCCACCTGATACGATCGGCCGCTTCCGAAACGTCCGATCGTTCAACATCGACCGATTCTGGGTCGCCAACGGCATTCAACACTGAACGCAAGCGGCTGGGGCGCCGTCGGTCGACGCGACACGAGCCTACCGTGCTCTCTCGGAGCTCCGCGCGGATTTCTTGACTCTGCGCTGGGCCCCCCCTCCCTGGCGCGCGGAGCGCGCTAGGGGCGGCGCTGGATGCGCCACCTGGGGGGCCCAGCGCAGATCCGACAGAAAAAATCCGCGCGGGGCTCCGCAGGTTTACGGTCATGCGGTTTTCCCCATATGCATCGGGTGGTGCTGAAGCACCCCTGGCTGAAGGTGCCCACGGACTTTCCAAGGAGGCCCCCACGGCCTCCAGAGCACCCCTCACGAGGCCCAGGGGGCCCCAGGGGCTCCAAAATTGAGCGGAAAGCTGGGGGAACCTTGTTCGGTGGCAAATCATGAGAGCCTCCCATTCTGCGAACTGACGCCAAGAAACGCTAGTCGACGCTGATCGACGCTAAATCGACGCCAAGCGACGCTAATCGAGGCTAAGTCGGCGCTATCAGACGCTAGTCGACGCCAATCGACGCTAACGACGGAATCAAGAGGGTACACCAGGCTCCCATGATCTGCTACCGAACAAGAGGGGTAACGGGGGAAAGGGGGGGCTTCTTGGAAGGAGGCCGCTCCCCGGGAGAAGCGCCGCCCAGCATCTACAGACAAGGCCCGCGCCTTCTGAGAAGCAGCCTCCCGCTGAGCAGCACTCCCGCTGCCCCCGCACCGGCCTCTGCGTGTGGCCGAGGACGTGCGGTCGCGTGGCCCCCCGCAGCAAGGAGACCGCCCCCCGTCTGCACGGGGCCACGGCCCACGCAGAGGCCTCCTGGAGCAGGGGGCCGCAGGCGGGCCCTGCCCCTGTCCCCCACGACTTCAAACGGGGAGGGTGGGGCTCAATCCGCTCGGGAGGCCCCCGAAGGGAGTCGTCCCCACCCTCCCCCTCAGAAATCGTGGGGGACAGGGGCAGGGCCCGCATGCGGCCCCCTGCAGATGGAGTCCGAGCAGATGTGGCCGCTCTCTGCGCGTCGCAGACCTGTGCTGCCAGTCGCAGCACTCAGGGTTGCACGGCATCTTGCTGGTCACCATGCACGGCAGCGGCCCGCTGCCCCGCCCCAGGGGGCTGCAAGGGCCCCGCCCCCCGCGGAGCTCGGCCGGCCTCTCCTCGGCCTCAGTCGGCGAGCCGCTCCTGCATCCGCCGCCGGCGCTTCGCTAAGACGAAGCCAGGACGAGGAAAAATGTCGGCCCGATTTCACCCAGAGGCCACGCCCGAGCGGTGCCCCTCCTGTACTCGCCGGTCTAAGCGACTCGGATCCGAGAGGGATCAAGGCGAAGGCTTCCCCTCGCCTCGAGCTCGAATCACACCCTCGCCAAGAGAAGGGTTGGGAGAGTCGAACTGGCTCGAACGGGGGGGGGAGCCAGGATAACTGCAGAGTGGCACGATGAGGATCGATGGGACCGAACGGTGCCACGCAAGCGGCGACGCGGCTTTCGGGATCTGGCTCTCGCCTCTGCGGGGCCGCGCCGCCGCCCGCGGCCGGACGCCCCCCCCCCCGGCGGACGGAGGGGCGGGGCTGGCGCCGCGGGGGAGGGCGAGCCCGTCCTGCAGCATCTTCTCGGCCAGGGCGATCTTCTCCTGGCGGGGGGGCCACTCGGCGCGGGCGGCGACGACGACGACGACGACGACGACGACGACGACGACGACGACGACGACGACGACGACGACGACGACGACGACGACGACGACGACGACGACCGCGACGACGACGACGACGACGACCACGACGACGACGACGATGCCGACGACGACGACGACGACGACGCCGGCGACGACAGCGGAGGCGGCGACGGTGGCGGCTGCGGCGGCTCTCTGCGCTGGAGTGAGGCCGCTGCGCAAAGCACGGCGGATTGCCGCAGTGGGCGAGACGGGCACGTTTCGCTCGCCACGATAAAACAAATCCAAGTCTAAACATGCCTCGTCCAGAGGGTGTTCTAGATTTCTGGATAACGCGCGCGCGTCGCACGGGCGCGAGGTCCAGGCAGAGAAAAACAGCACGGGCACAACGACGGCGACTACGAGGACGGTGGCCAACTGTTACCGCACAGCAGGCGGTCGCGCCTCAGGCACGGCGTTGCGGCCAAGGGTCCTGAGAAAACAACGTAACTCCAAGGGCGAACAAGGGCACATGGAGTCCCTCGTATATTCCTGCAGGGAACTCCACAGCAGTGACTAGATCATAAAATCTCAAGTATTGGCAATGTCACAGTCCCTATAGAGCAGTTGTTTCTGGATCGCACCCCGATAGACAAGCGAGGCGCCTCCGTGAGATGTCGGATCGAACTTTGCCGTGGCAGTGGCGCTGAATGTTCGTCGCGTTCGTGCAGCTGTAGGCCGCGCAGAGGCGGCCAAAAACATGTGACCCTGCAATTCTTAAAGAATGGCCATGGCCATCTGGAGCCGTGCGGAGAGAGGGAGAAGGCAGGAGGAGAACGAGGGTGGAGGGACGGGGAGGGACGAGGGCGGAGGGAGAAAGGGCGAGGAAGGGAGGGATGAGGGATGGCGAGGAGGCGAGGGCGCGGGAGGGCGAGGGAGGGGGAGGCTGGAGAGAGGGAGCATGATGGAGCATGGAGGGGACAGGATGGGGACGAGGGGGCGGGAGGGGGGAGGGACGAGGGTGAACGGGTAAGAAGGGGGCATGGGGGAGTACAGGGAAGGAGGGAGGGCGGCAAGGGAGGGAGGAGGGGCAAAATCTGCAGGGACAAGGGGGGAGGGAGAAGGGAGGATGAGGAATGGGAATAGGAATGCGGCCAATGATGACGTCTGCCATGAAATAAACAACCTCCACTGACCTCAACGAGACACGCGACGATGATATTGCCCATCACGGCCGCTCCTCCAGCCCAGCGGTGCCAACGCTGAACCCCCACACGTAATGCGAACACCGAGGCCCATGCTGCGCGGCGACTGCTGCATCAAGAAGAGGGGGACGGGAGGAGTGCGCTGCAGGGCAGTACCAGCGATGACGACGACGACGACGACGACGACGACGACGACGACGACGACGACGACGACGACGACGACGACGACGACGACGACGACGGCGGCGGCGGCGGCGGCGGCGGCGGCGGCGGCGGCGGCTACGACGACGGCGAAAGATACCCGCTGCTCGAGGGCACGAGAAACGGACTGCACCGCGTCTGGGCATGCGATGCCTAGCGGCCCCAGCAAGGCGGCGTTCGAGGTCACGTTCACAGTCTGCCGCTTTCGCCCCCCGCTGGGCCACCAACCCGCCGCGCAGCCTCGCGCTGACGCACTCGAATTTGGACAGCGGCCATGCTGGACACATCGCCGCTTTTTGAGTTCGGGTTCGACGGGAATCCAAGATGGGAAGCGCACGCATATTTACATATGGATGTAAATGTAGATGTACAAAGAAAATCAATCACTTTGATGATGCGCACGATTGCCCGAAACATGTCGCACATTTCTTGGTATATGTCTCACGCTCGCGAAACTATCTAAGATGATGTCAAGTATACTGTGCGCGGTGGCGCTTGCGAACACGGATTCAAGGGGATGCTCCTGTCCCCGAGAGGTGAGCGAGGAAGAATGATATAGAGGAAGGAAGACGAGGGATGACAACAATGGGGGGCCACCCACACCACGCGACGGCAAAGATGATTACACTTGCACACTGTCAACACATTCCGACGGGGCCGATGACACCAACCTGACGAACGACTGGGGAATCAACCGTGGGGATCGACCGCCAGCTCGGCACGCGTTCGTGAGGTTGCCAAATGCCCTTCCCCCTTCGGGTTCGCCACCGCCTGGCGAGACGCCTCGCGTGGACCCGCCAAACCTTCTCCTTAGAGTGCGTCGCGCACTGGCATGTCCAGCGTCGCCTCACGTCCAGTTGAGTTCGTACCCCTTCTGGCTCACCTTTCGAGTGCAGTTACCTGCCGGTGATGCTCGCCCTGACCGGGCGGCGGAGCATCCCGGTGGCCCGCTGACGCAAAACCGCCAGCTGCCATCATGCCCCGCCAGTCGGAAGAAGTAGGTGGAACAATGAAGAGGGAAGGCGGATAGAAGTGGATCGGGCTCGGGCTCATCCATTCTGGAAGTAGGTAGGAACGCGCCCAAAGTAGATCGGGATCCGGGCATCCGAAAATACAGACTTGGACGAGCGGCGCGCGTAAACGCTCACCTCGCCAGACCGCGGCATGCGACGCCGCGCAAATGAGGCTGAAACGAAATCTGATCTAGTGACGCAGTCGAGCCGACCATGCATCCAACGGTGCGCAGATCAACGTTTGGCGCGGTGTGTGCGTGTGCGTTCCGATCAGATTCCACAGTGTTCTGTTGATTGCCCTTCTGCGAAGCTTTTCCAGAAAGTTTACTGACCCCAGCTGTTGAAGCCATCTGGTCAAGTCACACGTCTTGGCGAAACCTGTTCAACGCGCCACGCCGCGCCCCGCAGCTTCCGCTCGCGCGCGTTCGCGCGTGAGGGCTGGTCCTAGAAAACACTTATTATTTGGTGGGCATTCTCGGCGCATCCTCTTGCGCTCCTTGCACCAACCACGATGCCGACACACTTGTTTGAGCGCGGACCTCCGCCGTGACATTTCATCACGCACAGCCAAGATGGGAAGCGTCTGCGGCGCGCAGGGCTCTTTCAGAAGGGAACCAAAGCTACCCCGCGCGCGAGGGCCTGCGACGGCCCACTGACAGCGAGCACGAAACGCAGATTGCGCAACACTGCGTTGTATGTTTACCTCGTCCTCTCTTCTGGCAAGGCAATTCCAGATTGATGGAACTTCTGTTTTGGCGGGAGCACCAACGCAAATATGCGCCAGAACGTTCAGACGGACGTGTCCCCATAGATTTTGGCATAGGCCGTTGTCCTTCCAGCAATCATGCGAACAATTGAGACCAATTGGGGAGTCACTGCGACTGTTGCTGGAAACAAGGGCAACAGAGGCGACCGAATGCGAAGAGTGCTCTGGCGAGGGCATGTGTAATCCATCGTTGCTGGAAATCTGCTCTCCACTCTCGTGCCGGCCAATGGGGCCAATTGTCAAAGCCATTCTCGTCGATTCCATTGGTCTGCAAATTCGCCATGCTCCAATGAGCAACGAAATAACAATCAAAGCTATTGTTGCGTCTTTCTTTTGATTGAGAGGGTACCGCACGTTGCCTTGCGTCATACCGTCATACCAGACAGCCTGAACAGATGTAGCCCGTGAGCCAAAACGGTTACGGAAGGCTCTCCTGGGGGTATCTTGTGCGGTCCTCGGACGCTGTTGGGGGCCTGTGTGGTCGTCTCGGATTGTGATCGGGCTTAAAATAGTGACCGCGCCAAGTATAGCCAGAGTCCAGTATCCCCGAAGGCTTTTTGGAAGGAGCCTGCTTCCGAGAAGACGCTGGCCTTACATCTACAGATAAGGCCCGCGCCTTCTCAAAGGCAGGGGTGCTTCTGAGAAACCCTCCCCCCCTACCTCTACCCCCCCTCTGCGCGTGTCTGAACATGTTCGTCGCTCATGACCTGCGTGCCTCCTCCTGGGGAAGGGGGGGAGAGGGGCGGGGGTGTCCAGGAGGGCGCAAAAGGGGACCAATCGTTCTCGGGGACGCACTGACCCAGATCAATCCAAACCCGGGTCAGTCAGACCTTGCAAGATCCTGCAAGATCCTGCAAGATACTGCACTCAGGCCCGGGTCAACGCAACCCTGGCTCTGCAGGATCCTGCGGGATCTGGCGCTCGAGATCGGTGCGTTGACCCGAGCCCCGACTAACCAGCCTAAAACATATCCCTTTCCCTAAGATGGGCGAGCAAAAAGCGCGGACAATCTTAGGGATAGGCCCTCAAAAACTGAGGGAATCCTTAAGTCGGCGGTGGACAAACCTCCCTTGAGTAAACCTCCCTTTAGTGAAAACGACCTAGGACCGAAACCGACGGACCTGGACCCGCAAAAATAACGGCCGCGACGCCCTCTCGCGAACCGAAAACGGCCAATTCACTAATCCACGTGTCAGGGCAGGAGGTCTGTCCACCCCCGATTACGATCGGCATCGAGGTGAGGTGATGTCAAACATAGGGATAGGGATACGCTTCAAACTGGTAGCCGACCCGGAGGGTGCAAAGGGGGGGAGCAGGCCGTCCTCGAGGCTCTGCTCGTCCGGGTGGCTGCCTGGAGAGACCTTGCGCCTCGCCTCCACCTGCCGTCGGAGCAGGCGGCCGCAGAAGGGAGGCAGCAGAAGCAACAGAGAGAGGGAGGGAGGAGGGGGCAGAGAGGGCAGGGAGGGAGGGGGCAGAGGGAGGGGGAGGGAGGGAGGGAGGGAGAGAGGGAGGGAGGAGGGAGGGAGGGAGGGAGGAGGGGGCAGGGAGGGAGGGGGCAGAGAGGCGGGGAGGCAGGGAGGCGGCAGGGAGGAGGAGGCGCGGAAGCGCAGGCGGCGTGAGGCGCGGAGGCACGAACGGCGGGGGGGGCGTCGGGGGGCGGGAGATATGCCTAAAATCCGGCAGCAAGGAGCTCCCACCCCCGACGAATTCTTTACAGCCAGGCACAGTCAACAAGTCCTCTGGCGATCATAAAGACCACGGACGAAACCTTCCAAGATGGGGACGCGTCAGGGAGGCTGGATCATCCAAAAGCGCAGCCTGCAGGCCTGAGCCCAACCCCAAAGAGGACTGGTGGGTGGCACGCCTGGAACGGATAAGGAAACATCGGTACGATGCCCAACAGCAAACGTTGTCCAGAACCGACAGCAGCCGCTGTTGTGCAGCCGACGTTTTTTCTCAAGCGGACAACCTCCGCAGCGACGCCGAAAGCGACTCCTGCTCAAAAGAGGCATGAAAAACTATCATAGAGGAACAATTTTTGGAATTCCGCACGGACATCTACGATCGGCGCGAGACCCCCCCCTCCCCAGCGCGTGGAGCGCGCCAGGGGCGGCGTCGGAGGCGCCGCCGGGGGGGCCGAGCACCGATCCAAGAAATTCGCGCGGAGCTCCGAGAAGTTACGTACTGTTACGCAGTGCTTTTCGCTTTTTCGGTAGATGTCGTGAAGACATGTGGCGTAAAAGCGGTGTGGCGCCAAACCTGGAAATGGCGACGTCATCTACGATAGCCGCAAGCGCTTCTCATCCCAATTTCAACAACTTTGAGTTTGCGCCGACCGCTTCGCATAACCTCAAGACTCCTGACTCCGACAGACCCAAACGACCGCCGTCCAATCTGAGCGCCCAATCACCAAGTACGCAACTTCAGACATTCAAGATCACGAGAAGCGTGTTTCCGGAAATTCCACATAGCCAAACAAGTAGTTCTGGATGCTCCGGAATTTTCAGTGCTAGTGCGTCAGTACAAACCAGAATACCAGACATTCCGAAACTCTGGAATCGCGTGCCTGGCGATAGGATGTCATGGAATGGGTCTTTGTGTCGCCGTTCAGAGCGGCGGGCATTCGTTTGGAGAGGTTGGAATCAAGACATCCGACGTTGCTTCCAGGGGCCAGCGCAAAACCAACCTTGTGGCAATGGGGATACGACGCGCTTGCGGCTATTGTGAGTAACGTCGTCATGGCCAGCAGTGGCGCCGCACTCCTTTACGCCAGACCTCTGAACGACCTCTGGATCCAGAGGGGCCTCTATGAAGGGGCCCTGGGACACACACCAATAGATACACACAAATAAAAGGATCCCCCATATTTTCCCATATCTTCTGGGTTTTGTCTTCCCCCCCACTTCCCATATTTTCCCATATTTTCTTGGGAATCGACGATTACTTGTGTCTGTGTGTTTTGTCCCCTCCTGATGAACGACCTCTGGATCCAGAGCGGTCTCCAGAGGTCGTGCTCACGGAGACCGGTCCCCGTAGCACTGCTTCGGGTCTTGCTCTAAAGGTCTCCCCGGCACAAGGTGCCCCCAGGATTTCGAAACGAGCCCCAACGGCCTTCAGGGCATCCCTCACAAGGCCCACGGGGCCGGAGGGGCTCCCAAACGGGGCGAGACGCTTGGGGCACCCTGGGCCAGGAGCACCTTCAACAACCCCCTCAGAAGTCCGACCCACGGAGACCGGCCTGCCGGCCTCCTCAGCACTGCCGCTCGCACAGGGAGGAGAGGACAGGGTTGCTAAAGGTGCCTCTGGCCCAGAGTGATCCCAGCTTCCCGCTCAATTTGGAGCCCCTTGGGCCCTCTGGGCCTCGTGAGGTGTGCTCCGGAGACCCTTGGAAATCCGGAGGGCACCTTGAGCCGGGGGCAGTTCTAGCAACATCCGAAGGGGGGGGGCGGGAAGGAAGCGGCGCCGGCCTGCTCCTTGGCGGCCCGCAGGCACCTCCGCTGGAGAGAGGGACCGCGGCGGCGGCATCGCTGCCGCGCCGCCGTCGCCCGCCGGTGATGCCGTCGGCGACACGACGTTTGGGACGCCCCGCGCGCGGGCGCCCAGCGCTCGACCTGCCCGCGCAGGTTTCTGACCTCATCCGCGCGCCGAGGTGGAGCCCGGGGCGGAGGCACCGCATAACGCGGGGTGGCTCTAGGGGGCGTCGTCGAAAGACGTCGTCGTCGCAGACGACGACGGCCGCTGGCGAGGCCGCCGACGACACCGACAAGTAACGTTTGGGGGGGGGACAGTTGTGGGGGGGGGGGGCAGCTGAAGGAGGGGAAACATCGACCTGGCAACGGCGACACATCGGCGATATGCCCTGGCTGGCGAATCCGTACAGCCCTGGGCGGGGTGGACGATCAGGCGCCTGATCGGCGATCTATGGGCGATAGGTGATATGGGGGTCGATGCATCCCCCCTGCGCCTACCCCCCCAACGTTGCCCTTGAGACTGACGACGCACGAGGACGTCGACGACGTTGACGACGTCGTCGTTGTCGAAGTCGACGCCGACGTCGCCGTCGTCAGATACAACTCCGTTCAAGATGGGGGGGCGCCGAAGGACATTCTAGAAACGCGTGTTTCTGTGAGGGAGCGCGCGGCCAACCCGAACACATGCTATGCAGATCTGATCGTAGATCCGCGGTCTGGGAAGAGTGCTGTTCTGCGTCAGCGGGCGCAAGCGAGCCGAAACTGGTGCAGGCGCCAGTCGGGCCACGAGCGGGACGCGCCGGGCACAACTTAGGGGACAAGAATCAGAAAAAGGAGGCGGGAAAGGCGAACAGAGGCGGGATCCACGTCTGGGCAGAACACGCCGACCACGGTATCTATACTACAAGGTGTTTCAGTACGCACGTCGCTCATGCGGAAGCGACGCGCGCACAGGTATTCATGACTCCAGCCGAAAACATCGGAATCGGTGACGATGCCGCCTTCGACGTCGTCGTCGTCGCCGCTTCGGAGGCGTTTTCGGCGTTCCTGCCGGAAGCGGGTCCTGGCGGAAAGGGGTCCTGCTGAGTTCCGCCGCCTCAAGGCACCAGGACGCCCAAAATTAATCTACTCCAGGATCGAGAACTGGCCCTGGGGAAACAGTGCTCGTTGCTTCGAGGCGATAGCAGGCGTTGTGGGGGGGGGGTCCAGGGGGGCATTGACGTACCAATCCTCCCGCCGCATGGGTTCGGCACCACAGACTGTGGTGCCCGACGCACCGCGGCAGAGCAGGCAGGGGGGGGGGGGGAGAAGGAGGAAGAGAAGGATGAGAAGGAGGAGGGAGGGGAAGGAGGAGTAGGAGAAGGACGAGGAGGAGGGGGAGGGGGAGGAGGAGGGGACTGCCAACAGATTGCCCAGGATGAGGAAGCGACCCTGCGGAGATCCCAATGGAGCATAACGCGCGCCATGGCCCAGAGGGGAGCAAAAAAACGCCTTCACGGGAACGCCCCAGAGACACGGACCCCTCGGCCTCAAGGTTTTTTTTTTGTTTCTAGATTTCCAGATTCCCAGCAGGATCCACAACATGTCGCAGAACCAAATGTGGCCTCAAGGCCCATTTCTCTCTTCGTGGCTGGCCCCGGAAGCCGTTTCCGCAACCGCCCTGCTGGGCGCGGCCCTCGGAGAACCGACCCACACGATCCCCAGGAAGGGTCTCGGGGGCCGAGCTGGAGCGGAGGAGGAGGAGGACGGCGACGACGGCGGCGACGACGGCGACGGCGACGGCGGCTTGGCGGCGACGACGACGACGACGACGACGACGACGACGACGACGACGACGACGGCGGCGGCGACGGCGACGTCGACGATGACGACGACGACGACAACGATGGCGGCGATGACGACAACGATGGCGACTAAAGAGTTCGTGATTCTCAGGGGGCCCTTGGTTTCCTGAAATCACACCAGCCCTGTAGGGCGTCAGTGGTTTAGACTACTTCCTCTTCCAACCCCCTTCTGCCTCTTCGGGGAGGGGTTATCACTGTTCCCTCTTTTAAGCACCCCCCCCCCAGCGACCAGCAGCCAACCAGGACCAATGAGCCCCCCCCCGCACCATCCGATCGAAAAACAATGTGAAGTCCACTTTGCGGCAATGATCGGTGGGGCCGCGAGCACTTTGTCATGGTTTTTGTCAGGGGCGACAGGGGTGCACGCATATTGCCTGCTGTGCGCAGGGCAGGCATCCCTGTCAAAAAAACAAGCTTCGTCGAGCGATCTCCACCGAAACCTTCGGCGATTGTTCCAAACGGTGCACGCGCCTACTGGAAAGATGGGCGCGGGGCCCGGCGGACTGGGCCAGCGCGGCGGTCAAGCCTATGTGATTCATCTTTTGTTGTGTTGTGGACGGGCCCGCGTGACGTCGTGACGCCTTTCACGTTTGTTATGTCTTCTAATCGGTCGTTGCTGCTACTGTTCGTTTCCGTGGCCAGCCTGGGCTTGGCGCGCATGTCGTGCAGATCGGCCGCAAATACTCGGTCTCTGCTGAATTCGACTTATTACGCTGTGTTCGCATATGTTATGTTCTGTCCCATGCACATGTATTTGCTTCTGTTCTACTCCAGACGGGGCGCCGTGACGTCGTGACGCATGTCGCTCTTGATATGTCCTCTAATCGGTCATTGCGGCGCCTGTTGTTTCCTGTGACCAGGCGCGGATATGTGATGCTCGATGAGGTTCTATTTCTGCGATGCTACAATATGATGTGTTGTTGCCGACGGGACTACGTGACGCCGTGACGCCTGTCACGTAAGATGCGTCGCCCGATCGGTCGTTGCTGCGCCCGTTTGTACCAATGGTCGGACTGACCTCATCGCGCGCGTCGCACTTCATTATGTTAAGGTACGGCCTGGTATGTTATGAAGTTCCTCTTCAAATGTGTGTTTATATTATGTTAAAGTATGTTCTGTGTTGCGGACATATGATCGTTGACTGACTTGTTATGACATGGTTTGCTCTCCTCTGTGGCACCACGTTTTGGCATGATACATCTTCTGTCAGGTCAAGCTGTGTAGTACTATTCCCTGTGACGCCGTAGAGGCTATGCTCAATTCGTCATACTGTAACATGATATGCTCTGCTATGACATTCGGGCGTTGAAAGGACTGGGTTTAGTGAAACCTGGTTTAGTGATGTGTACTGGGGGACGCCCCCCCGCCCCGTTCCACTAACCGGAGCTGCCGTCACCCGAAAAACACCAGCTACGGCAAACCTGGTTTACTGCTTCTGGCCAATTCAATGGCTCCGGGCCCTACCACTAACCGGGTCCCCTTACCTGAGGTCCTGGCTATACCCGAGAAGTACCTCTTCCATGAACAATGCCCAAACAAGTTATACCTAAACCGTTGACGCAGGGGTAGCAACGGGGAACCAATTATGCCAGGTTATGCTGGTTACGGTGTGCTCTATTCTTTATACGATGCTATTTGATAATGTGATAGTGTGTTGTGCTCTACTAAGGCTGTTATGTTATCGACGGGCCAGCGTAACGCTGTGACGCCTGTCACGTTAGATACGTCGTCCGATCGTTCGTTTCTGTGCCTGTTTGCTCCTGTGCCCAGCCTGACCTCGGCGCGCACGTCGCGTTCATATTGTAATACATTAGATATGTTGTGATGCCCGTGTTCACATATGTTTCTATCACATAAAGTATACTCTCTCACGCTCGCTTCTGTCACACTATGGCTTGATATATTGTGTTATGCTCTGCCCTGTGCCACCGCGCTATGGCATGATATGTTCTGCCAAGTGATATTAGGACATGCAAGGTGTGTGATGCTGGTTACTTTGCGCCGTGCTGTATACCAGTATGCTATGCTACGTCTTGTCCTGTCAAAGCATTCCTCTGCAATATAATAGATTCTATGAGGTTGCAATGCGTTCGTTGCAATCGTTGGAGCGCGTCTCTCTATTTTCGGCGAAGAAGGGCGTCATGGCGGGGGGCGGGGGGGGGTATGACGTAACGCCACCCCCCCGCCGTGTGGCTCCGGCACCACAGCCGCGCGCACGACGACGCTGAGCGACGAGCGACGAGCAACGAGCGACGAGCGACGACGACGACGACGACAACGACGACGAGAGGGGTAGGTAAAATGGTAGCGGTTCTGCGTGTACCACAGCGCCTGCTAGGCGGCCCGGTCGCGCGCCGACAACCAGACCATGGCTGTCGGCGCGCAACCAGGCCGCCCAGCAAGCTGCCTCTACCACCTCTTGGCGCCGAAATGGCTTGACCCAAAAATGGCGATGCGAAGGAAGAGGGGGAGGAGCAGGGGGAGGAGGAGGAGAAGGAGGAGGGGGAGGAGGAAAAGGAGGAGGATAGGGAGAAGGAGAAAGAGGAAGAAGAGTTTTCACCGGGAACACATAATCACAATTTCGGACCGCTATGCGGATCCCAGTACGGGTCCCTATGCGAATCCCTATGCCGATCCCTAGGAGGATCCCTATGCAGATCCCTGCGCGGATCCCTATGCGGATGCTTATGCGAATCACCGTGCGGATGCCTATGCGGATGCCCATGCGCATTGCAATGCGAATCCCTATGCGGATCCTTGCGCGAATCCCTATGCGGATCTCTTTGGATGCGGATGCGCATGCGCATCCCTACGCGGATCCCCATGAGATTCCCCATGCCGATCAGACTCCTATGCAGATTCCTAACACCTAGGCGGATCCCGGTGCGCACGGCGGCAGTGCCTGGAGCGCACGGGGGGGGGGGGGAGCGTTACGTCATAGGGGGGCGGGCGGGGGTGGAAGGGGAGTGGGGGTCACCCCGTCATGCCCCAAGCGATGCAGAAACGCGGTCTTACGTTGTTATGTGAAAAAATGATCGATCGTGCGTTATGGCATGCTCTGTCCCGTCATGGCATGTTATGTTATGCAATAGTATGCGATGGTATGATATGTCATAACATGCGATACCGCGCGATGCCATAAGAAGGTGTGTCATCTTATGGAGTGCGATGTTATGTG